AACTTCCACAGGCTTACTATTCAGTGTGACAAACTTCCACAGGCTTATTATTCAGCTTCCCAAACCATCAGCAGTCAGGACTTGGGTGGGAGGGCACTTAGCACGCAGGAGTCCCTAGGTTCAAGTCACAGCAACAAACACAGACATACACACATTTGTTACTATTTTTTAAACAATTTTAAAAATACTTTGAAATTATAATTATATCACTTCCGTCTTCCCTTTATTCCCTCCAAACTCTCCCATGTATCCTCACATAATCCTTTTCAAATTTATGGCCTCATTGTTTTTACGTGCGTTCGTGTACATGTGATCCTGTTCATGTCACAGTTGCCACTATTTTCTTTAACTTTTATGTGTATGGGTGTTTTGCCTGCATGTGTGTCTGCATCACATGCACGTCCACCTTCCTGCTCACCCTGTGCCTCTGTCTCCAAGCTCAGCTGTCAGCAGGAGCTTCTGGAAGGGAAGATGGCTGAGCTATCTCTCCAGCCTCAAATTGTCACGATTTTGACTAATATAACTTGACATGGTGTTTTATCATTTTCCCTGAAAATCCTGTATGACACTTAACAGGCGATGCTAAGGAACCCTGTCGACCTCGAACTATTAAGTCATTTCTTAAAGTGATTTGGTATTCAGGTGGCCGTTTCTCACGGTTTGGCCAGGCCTTGTTTTTGCTTGGTGCGGAGAGCACCAACGGTGGGAGAAGACAAGTCCTGATGCTCCTCACACCCTCCGGCTTTCCTCTCCTGCTCGCCCCACTCCCCACACCTCTGCCCCCAGGCTCGGGCACACCCACACCTGCTTCTTTTCTCATGCTAGACCCAGTTTTTATTGTCTAAACTACAGGTAGGAGGCATCTGGGTAGATTCCCCTGACTGGGGTTGTGAAAGGCTGGAACAAGACATCTAGAAGTCTTCTGACCTGCGTCTTCCCACTTGAAGGGGATGGGAGAACAAGAGTTTGGTCTCAGTCAGGATGAACTGATGACATTGGACAAGATCTCAGCCAGACAGCAAAGTGTCAAGGAAACCCAAAACTTATTTCCCGTCCACCCTCAGCCCACCTAACATACACAAAGATAGAGAATCAGGACTAGAGTGGGAACCAGAGCTCTGTCTCCAGTTAGCTGGGCGACCTTGGATGAATCTGTTTTTCACTTTAAGGTTTACCTAAACACCAAGGCCCCCCACCCCCTGTACTCAGCCCTTTCCCTGCATCTATTTATCCACATGTCAATTGTGCATGTGTTATAGTGGAAAACTTCAAGCCAGGGACTTCTGCTTCCTCATCTGCAGAACCTAGGATGGCATCCAACAGCATGGCAGTTGAGTAGATAATTAAGTGAAAAACAAGAGAACCCTATGTTTCACCTCTTGCCCCAGTTGGAAGAGATCTCATCAAGAAAGCAGGTGGCAGCAATGCTGGTGAAGTTGCGGGGCAAGAGGGACCATTAGCCACCACTAATAGGAAAGTAAATATGAACTAATGTGATATAGAAATCATGGCAGGAGTTCACGGACCTCCGCCCCTAACTGAGGAGCTAGGGACAGTTTTCTTTGAGGGCGTGGCCCCTGGTAGGGACATCATGCTCCCATGGATGGCTGCACACCCAGAAGTATATGAGCACCATGAATTACAGTCAGGTCATATGTTAAAGTGTAATAAACATTAAAAATAGAACTTCCAAATGACCCAGCCATGCTACTCCTGGGCACATTCCCAGGAGACTCCATGTCCTACCACAGAGACACCTGCTCATCCGTGTTTCTCATTGCACTGTTTCTAATACCAAGGAAATGGGACCAGCCTGAATGCTCAGCGGATGAGCGGATAGTGAAAATGTGGCTTATGCCAAATGGAGTTTTGCTTGGCTATAAATAAAAATGTGATTGTGCAATTTGTAGAAACATTGATAGATCTGGATATTACTATATTAAGGTGACCTTGACCTAGACTCAGAAAGGCTTCTATCTTATGCGTGAATCTTAGCTTTCAGCGTCTGTGTGTGTGAGTAGGTTTTGAGCACGTGTGGGTACAGGCCATTACTGTAGAGTGCCGTCATCCAAGTTTAAGGGCCACCGTTTCATCCCAACAGCTGTGACTGTTTGCAGGTGCCCCCCCAGGGTGGGGCTGTTGACTGTTGACATTCTCCCATGGAAGGAGGGCTCGGGAGGGTCCTTTACCCCTCCCCCGAGATTCCTGAAGGTCTTGTCTCACCTCCTGGACAGTTGTATGTAATTATGCCTTCGTTTCATACGCCTTGTGGTGCTAGCGTATGTAGACAGGAATGTTAACTGGGGTGAGGAGAAGCCTCTATGCAGCTATGGGGACGCTGTCACCCATGCTGGAGCGCAAGTGCTTTGTGGTGGCCCACATTTCTCTAAGTACCCCTTTACCCCTGCTCTGGGTAAGCCTGATAAATTCCCTGGCTTCCCAAGTTGGTCTTTGATGGGATTATCTTGGGTTTGTTGGTGGTGCCCTCTAAGGAGGGAGTTGGCGTTTGTTTACATCTCCCCAGGGAGGGAAGGAGTTCCAGCAACAGTTGTGAAACCAGAAAGGGAACAAGAGAGAGAGGAAAGGTGTTGAGGAAGGGAGGGGCAATAGTGTGCGGGTGACATGTACTGGAAAAAGGTGCTCGGGCTCCAAGTGGGGGCCGTGCGAAAATGCCACAGTAAAACCTAATGCTTTGTATGCTAATTAAGAGGATTTAAAGCCCTGAGAGAAACTCTTCCTAAGATCACTCACTGAAATACATTAAAACTGCCACAAAAAGAGAAGGAAGCCGGGTTCTTCTGAAGGTGTCTCAGGTTTGTCCTGACGTGGTTCCGCCTCCTGGTCCTGAGGCTGGACACCCTGGGCTGGGAGAAGAGGGATCCTCCTTTTCCACACCCTGCTTTCTCTGCCCTTCGGTCTTCTCCTCTTCCCCCTTCCCTCTCATTCCTCCTACTCACTCTCAGCCTTCCCTTTCTCAGTGTGCTCCCAGGAATACCTGGACTCCAGCATGGCAGAAGTCAAGATGGAGGTGGCCAGCGTGGACTGGCAGAAACGCTGCCTTTCCCTGGAGACCCAGCTCTTCCGATTCCGCCTGCAGGCCAGCAAGATAAGGGAGCTGCTGGCTGACAAGGTGAGTCCCCTGTAGAGCAGGAAGTTCCCTCACGCCAGGGATGGGGCCAGTAGCCAATGTCAGGTCCAGAGTTGAGAGGGCAAGTTGGGGAACATGAACTCCCATTAAGACTTTGCCGTGTTTTTTTATGGAAAATGAAAAGTAGCTTTTTTTTTTTTTTTTTTTTTTTAATTCACTAAGCTTTCATCCGACATTTCTCCTGACTCGGCCACCTCAAGTGCCACACACTAAAGAATGATACAGTCGAGCTGGGTGTGGTGTGGCACAATTTAAATCCCAGCACTCAGGAGGCAGAAGCAGGCAGGGCTCTGTGAGTTCAAGACCACTCCCCGGAATTTGAGACCCACCTGGGCTACACAGTGAGACCCTGTCAGAAACGAACAATTAAAATTTTTTTTAAAAAAAGGTCCAACCATCTTGGTCCTCTGTCACTTTGATCCCTCCTGGCTCATCTCCACCGTTACTTCTTTTACTATTACTCCTATGGCTAACATTAATTTTGTTCTCACTGTGGGCTGGATGATTTTTTTTTTTTAGGAGAACAATAAAAATCTCCACTCTCCTTGCCCATCCCCTATAAACCGATGAGCCTCAGCAAAATGCCCGATTTTCTAGGGACACCAGATAAGCTTTGGAGTCAGCCCTGCCTGGCTCTCCACCTGTCTGGCTGTGTGAACTTCCACCTCTCAGTCATTTTGAGACTGGTATCTAATGGCTTACGGGAGGGTTGGGCGCTAAGTAATGAGAACAGGTGTTATCTTTATACGCTTAGGTCGGTTGGTCTGCACAGCTCACCTCTTTGGTCACATTTCTCTGGGAAGATACATTCAAGTGGCTAACTCTCATTTAGGGAGTGGAAAGCTGCAGTTACGATGTATTTGTGTAGGAACACAGCAGGTGAGTGAGTCACCCGTTCTCCTGGCGGTTCTGATTACAGTATCAGTGTGCTTAGCTAACGCTTTCTTAGTACAAAGGTAAAGTTCAGCTCACCCTTTTAGGTAAGGTCCAAACCTTGATTAGTAAAGCTGGAAAGAACGGAACCCATGACCTGGCCATCTGACAGTCCTGAACCCTGAAGTGTGGGAAAGCCCAGTCAGTGCTGTCACTTTCGGCATTCCCGGGGCTGAGGTGTGGCCTCGGACTAGCTTGGACTTGAATTCGTGAACCTCGGGTCTATTGGCATCACTTTCTTAGTTCAGACAGCACAGGGTTCCTGTGGGTGCCAGCCAGGTACAGCCAGTGGGATGGTAAGACTTTAGGCACCTGAGGGAGAGGGTCGTAGGTCTAAGGATGGTGTGGTCAGAACCACTTGGCCAGAATCACCTGGGGGGCTGCTTGCTTAGAATGGCTGTTCTTGGGTCACTTCGGTCCTCTTGTTCTAAGTCTCTGGGGTGCTTTAGTAATCTGTGACTGACAGGCTGTTAGAAAATGGTTTTGCCACTGTAAAGTTTGAGGACCTTGCCTTAGGCTGTGGCATTTGGGGAGAAGATAAAGGAAAGGTAACTGGGATACACTCAGCTAAGTGGAATGGAACACATCTCGGGAAAGGCTTCTGTTTTGAAAATACAACAGAAAGGCCGCAGATAAACAACACAAAGGGAGAACCCTGAATAGAGCACAGTAGGAACCCTGGTGGGGGGGGATGCTGAAAAGAGCAAGAGCCCTCCCCAGAGAGGAAAGAGGGACCAAGCAGGGTGCTCAGTCTGAGCGCCTGAGTGAGGTGGGGTAAGTGACCAGCCTCCCCTTCCTCACGTAAGGTTTCAGGCTGGAGGTTTGGTGCCTGGAGCTAAAACTGAGTATCCCGTGTAATCCGGACTACTTAGAAATAACAAGGTAGATGGAAGTAAGAGAATCAGCCCCCCAGCACCAAGAGATAGCCACAGCTTCTCAGACTTAAGGCTCTGGGAAGAACAGTTTTACTGTTATATAGCTGATTTAAGAACCTGAGTTCTGGGTTGAGGGGACACAGGAGAAACTTGTAGGAACAGACTCACAGTTTCTTTGGAGGAACAAGACTTCAATCCAGACCAGGAGCCCCCAGGAATCAAAATGAGCCTTAGTGAAGACGGATGTGTTACCCAAAATGACTAGTGCCTGAGGGGAGGGGGTGGTCTGTAGTTAGTAGGAATTCACATACACAAGAAATAACTGGTCTTCGAATGATAGACCCATGGACAAGAGACTATAAATTAATTCATTAAAAACTACTGATGACAGAATAAAGAAATTGAAAACTTGAGACAAGAACAACACAGTATCCAAAAGGACCAGGCAGATGAAAACCAGGTAGACCTTTGAGAAGTGTTCTCCTTGAAATGGGTTTTTCAGTGGCTAGATTGAACATCAGGCTGGCACCATAGGATAGGCTGTGTCTGTTAGCAGGTATCAAACCTAGGGCCTTATGCATGGAAGGCAGGTGCTCTGCCCGGACGATAGGAACAGGCAGAGACCACCAGGGAAACCTCTAGGAAGACAACACAGAAAAAGAAAGACACAGCAAGATGTGAGTGCTAGGACCATGAGCCTGTTCCAAATCCCGCTCTATAATGGCCCTGGAGAAGGACATGAAGGAGAAGGATTATTTGAGAAAATTATGCCTAAAAACATTCCAAACTTAATAAGAGAGGTGAAGCCACAGATTCAGAAGGCAGAAGGAATGAGAACAGGATAAAAAAACTTGAACATCACTGTCTTCTGTTTTAACTATTTAATAGTGTGATTGCTGTAAGAAAGAACACAACAGCTTAGACCAGACAGGTGCTGTGTCTGTCATGTGTAGATTCCCAGGCAAGAAGCAATCCAGCCCTGAGCTTAAAGGTGGTTCATCCTGATGCCCACAGCCCCACTCTTGCCTTTTAAGTGTATGACCCAGAGGTTGCGTTCCTTCTGCCTAGATCTCACTGGCCATGTCTTAGTCATGTGGTTATTACTCAGCACCAAAGGAGGCTGGGAAATGCCTTTATTCTCAATAGCCACGTGCTCAGCTAAAACTTAGATGTTTTGTTCTCTAGAGAGACGCCATCACACATCAGTTGTTCCCCTCCCTCCCCTCCCTCTTTCTCATTGTATGGAACTAGAAATGGAACCCAGGACCTCATACATGCTAGACAAGCACTCTGCCACCAAGTTACCTCCTCAGTAGTCAGCTGTCTTTGAGTCTAGAATAATGAACGTGATAATGAATAAAACTAGGTTATACATTAACTTTCAGATCACCACAATGAGGAATTGAAATTAAAGGCTACAAATAGAAAAGGGGACTATAGCCATTTATGGTGGTGCATGCCTGTAATCCCAGTGCCCAGGAGGTAGAAGCACAAGGACCAGGTCAAGGTTGAATTACATGAGACCTTGTCTCAAAAAACAAACAGAAGAGGAAAGGGTCTATAGAAAGGCCAAAATGGTAGAAGTAAATCTAAATATATTACTCATAGGAGACATATATATATATATATATGTACACACACACATCAAACTACTGTGTATACAAGTATATAGTAGTTTGATGTATATATAAGTATATATACTTAAATATACATATATAATATGTATTTTGATGCATATGTATACTTGTATATAATATATATTATAAGTATATAGTAGTTTGATGCATATATATAAATACATAGTAGTTTGATGTATGAAAACTGGGAAGTGTTCTAGTCAGGTGCTAGTGTGCACCTGAAACGGCTGTACTCAGAAGACTGATGCATTGTTCTAAAGCCACATGAGGGTATCAGCTAGGCTACGAAACCTTGGCCTTCACCTCTGCTCCTTTATCCAGTGTTGACACTCACTTTTGGGGTGCTGGGAATCAAGCTCAGAGCTTTGCACATGGTAAGCAGTGCTTTATTCTCTTGAGTGATACCTCCAGCTTTGGGGGGTTTGTTTTTAGACAGTCTCACTGAGCTCAGGCTGACTTCAAACATCTGAGTAGCCAAGGATAACCTTGAACTCCCGATTCCTCTGCCACCACTTCCCAAGTGCTGGGATTGTAGGCAGGTACCGCCACAGCTGGCTTGAGCCCCTCCCTTTTCAAAGGGACAGGGGAGACCCAGGGTGATGTGGTTCTTAGCTCAGGTAACCCTTGGGCATGACAGTGCTGTGCTTGGGTGTAGGAGACGTCCTGCTGCTCCTGCTGCCGTGGGGCTGGTCTTTCACAGGGTTGCCGCGTGTGGCAAGTTGCTGTGGACATGGGGAGTTGAATACCAGACAGGTGCCAAGTGCTTTTCATCAGGTTGCTTTGGCCAAGTTCTAGGGAGCTTATGACTCTTAACTGCAGCTGGTGAAAGCAGATCCTTGACAGCTGCGTAAACCTGACACCTCCTTGGCTGGCACGTCACTACAGACCCACACGCTGAGAGGAGAGCTGAGGACATGGTCTTAGGGAACCCTCGAGAGGAAGAGCAGAGCCCAGAGAAAGGGCGGCCTATCCCCAGAGCCGGATTTCACAGCTCCAGGTGTGTGTCTTAAAGGCCGCGCCGCGGAGAAGACAGATGCACTGCTGCTCCTGGAGAACGGGCGTTCAGGGAAAGGAGAGTCGAAACTTCAGTGATGTCAGCTTGATTACACCTGTGAGCACTCCAGCCGCGGTGGGGAAAATCTGTTTTCATAAAAACAGGAGCATTGAAAATGTCTCTCCATTCAAGGCCAGCGTTGGTAATTGATGGGTACAGGAGAAGCATGGATAGGCACCGTGCTTTTCTTCTTAAAAGGCTCTGGGTGTGGTCATGCACCTTTAATCTCAGCACTCGGGAGGCTGAGGCAGGAGGATCGTGAGCTTGAGGACAGCCTGGGCTACATAGGTAGACGCCCCATCTCACAAACCGAACCAAAGTGAAAGTTCTTTCACGTTTTGTTTTATTTTTGTGTGTCTGAGTGTTTTGCCTACGTGCATGTGTGTGCCTGCCGAAGTCAGGAGTGGGAATTGGATCCCCTGGAACTGGACTTACTGGCAATTATGAACCACTGTGTGGGTGCTGGGAATCAAACCCTGGTCTTCTGCAGGAGCAACAGGTGCTCTTAACTGGTGAGCTATCTCTCCAGCCCCTTGAAAGTTCTTTTCAAAGAGGGGGGACTGAAGACGTGGAGCCAGGGTCACTCGTGCAGAGGACCTGAGTTCAGTTCCTAGTATACTTCCCTGGCAGCTTGTAACTGCCCGTAAATCCAGTGCCAGGGGATCTGCCTTACAGCTTCCACAGGCACCAGACACTCAGGTGGTGCGACACATATATTCAGGCAGTAATGCATACATATAAAAAAGTAAATCTTTAAAGAAACGGGGTGAGGAAACCCAGACGTTCTAGATGTTTAAAATGTTTCAATGTTCAGAAACTAGTTTTAGGAACCCCTTCTCCCGCAAAAAGGGATATAGAAAGAAGTGAATGCAATTTCTCTTGAGTGCCAAGTATCCAGAAAGATAATGGCAGGGAGGGTTGGCAGCAAAGGACCATTGGCAGCTGTGGAGTGAAGCTGCTTGCCCATGGCTGACAGGGGGTGCCTTGCTCTAAATGGTCTTACAGTTTCTTCTGGGTCTAACCAATGCTGGCCACTCTTGTCCCAACTGAAAATGCTTTATCAGGAGGTAAGACAAGTTTTCCCATGGGGCAAAATTAGAACATGTCAGACAGTTGTGGAAGGTTATAAATGTGAATTATCATTTCCCATGGAAAGCTTGTGCCTTCTGAGCTATAGGGCAGACATCAGGACCACAGTTTAGCCTTCTGGGAAACCTGCTGAGGAGCCAAGACCTTCCCTCCCATTCAATATTTCACTGTACTCTAAAATACTCCCAGTCTTTGTGCTGATTATACTCAACACTGGTTAGCCAAAGCAAACAGGAACTTGATTAGGACCAGAGCAGCAGGAGGGTCTTCATTCTGTCCAACAGCCATGACATGGTGAGGCGTACACTTCTGCGCAGCTCCCTGGCCTCAATCTCTTGACTTCAGGCTTTAGAATTGCAGAGATTTAACCTGCTCAGTGCTGAAGGGAGAATTATTTAATCCTGAGTTGGTCAGCACCACTATCTATCACCCAGCCCTTCTCTCCAGCCACTTAGTAGAACTTCATGGGCTGGACAGCCACTTCTATGACTGTAGTATTGTTCTGTGCTGTGGAAACTGTCTGAAGGTAGGGAGCTCCAGGACTGTTCTAGAGCCCAGGACTTTCTCAGGTTTAAGAAAGCCCACCAGACTCTAGCTGATGCCCGAGTAGCACAACCAACCCTCTCTCTTAGCTTGAGTTGAGGGTTTGGTCACGATGACTCAACTCAGTAAAGGAGGAAGTGCATGAAACCTTGCTCCTTCTCACTTGATGGGAGACCTGTGGGGTATAAATCTGAGTTTTACTTAGACCTTTGGAGGAACATCCCACCAACTGCTCCTCAGATGCAGTGGATACAGAAAGTATTCTTTCATTTTTAAATAATTCATTTATTTTTATTTTGTGTGCATTGGTGTTTTGCCTGTGTGTATGTCTGTATGGGTGTGTCAAGTCCCCTGGAACTGGAGTTACAGACAGTTGTGAGCTGGCATGTGGGTGCTGGGAATTGAACCTGGATCCTTTGGAAGAGCAGTCAGTGCTGTTAACCACTGAGCCATCTCCCTAGCCCCCTAGAAAGCATTCTTGATCCTAGAAAAGATGGGCAAATGAATAAGAGAAGGACAGCCTCAGAAAAAAGATCCTCAGGTCCTTAAACATGACTTGTGGCTCTGGTGTAACATCCCCTGTCCCACACTAACAGGGCTCCTTCCCTTCCCTTTACACCTTTGCTCAAGGAAAGTGTGATTGCAGCTGAGGTAGGCCCATGAAAAGACACAGGGAATTGCTTACTGTCTGGTAAATATCAAGCCAGGATCTAGGTCATGGGAGAGAAGGTTGAGTATCGAGAGAAGTCGAATCTTCGGTGAACAGTGAGGTGAGGACTAGAGCTAAGAAAGTAGGGGACACTGATTCTATCCCGCTGCAAAGATGACAAGGATGAGGTATGTTTCAGATAGATGAATAGGGATGGATGGAGGGAAAATGTCTGGCACTATCTCAGGAAAGGCACAGGACCCTTGACATGAGAGTCAGTCAGGAAAATTTGTCCTTTGCATAAGTGGTTTATGCAGCACATAGAGGGGTCACTTGAGGGAAAACCTATACTCCACCTGCTAAGCTACGAGCTTGAGCTTGTGGCGCTGCAAAGGAATGCCCTGTAGGCCACGACCTGTTCCGGAGGCTGCAGCTTAGATCTGGTCCCTGAGGAGCCCCTGAATAAGATTCCAGAATTAGCCGAGTGTAGTGGCGCACGCTTTTAACTCCAGCACTCAGGTGGCAAAGGCAGCCAGATCTCTGTGTAAGTTGGAGATCCACCTGGTCTACAGAGAGTTCCAGGGCAGCCAGGGTTACGGAGAGAGACCCTGTTTCAAAAAACCTAAACAGTATGCCTCTCCTGGCAGGGAGCTAGACTCTCCCTAACCCGTCTTTTATGGTTCTGGGAATGTGTGCATCCAGAGCCTTGCACATGCTAGGCAAGTGGACCACAGTACTACATCTCCAGCCACAGTACACCTACTACTCCAGCAAAGTAGGCAGGTTTTTTAAATTAGTTTTTTAAATGTGCAAGCGTGGTGTGTTTGTGTAGGTGCACATGTCATGGCACATGTGGAGGGCAAAGGTCAACTCTGGAGCTAACTCTCTCCTTTGACCTATATGGGTTTTGAGATTTAACTTAGGCCACCAGGCATAGCAAGAGTCCTTCATCTGCTAAGTCATCTGGCTGGCCCTGTATATGTTGTCTGTTTGTCTGTCTGTCTTGTCTCTGTCTCCACTTATTTTTGGACACGGGCTTATGTGGCCCAAGCTGTCAGGAATTTTCTCTGAGCTCATCTTGTGTTTTTTAATCTTTCTGTCTCCATCTCTTGGGGCTGTTACTGCAAGTGTACACTGCTACACTGTGCAAGATAGAAGGTAAAACTTTGTTTTATTAGTGTGTATGTGGGTATATGTATGGCGGTCAGAGGACAACTTTCGGGGGTTGGTTCTTACCCTCCTTTTGTTGTCACCACTAGTTGGCTCATTCCCTGCTAGTTCTGTCTCTGCCTCCTGTCACACCCCATCTCGTGGTAGAAGTGCTGAGATTACAGATGCAAACCACCACATCTGTTTCCAGAGATGGAATTCGGGTGTCAGGCTTACACAGCAAATGCTTTTACCTACTTAATTAGAATTATTTTAAGCATAGGGGTTACTGGATCATCATGGCCCCAGATGTCATTTGATCCCTATTGTTCTTTAAATATTGTTCTTTAAAAAGATGATAGGTTGGGATGCCCCGAGTGGCCTGCGAGCCAGGCAGAGGCTGCCGCCAGAGCAGTGCAGGGTCCCTGGGCGAGCGGCAGAGTCAGGTGGCTGGATGCGGTGGACGGCAGAGTAAATGGACATAAAGCTATATATAAAGCTAAACATTTATTACTTAGAGAAGAGGGAGACATTTATTACTTAAAGAAGAGGAAAACAGAGAGACATAAAGACAAACATAGAGAGAGACAAAGACACGTGTATACACGCCAAGAGACAGACAGAAGAGAGGCTAAGATGGCGACCAGGAGGTCAGAAGTGGGTGGGAGTGGGCGTGGTTAGTCCTTAAAGGCACCGCAAAGGAATAACAATCCCCAGCACATACACAAGCATACAAATACTCTAGTATCTTTTTTCTGTTTCTTTACCCCTCCCCCCCAGGCCTTAGCTGGCCTGGAACTTGATAGGTAGGTCAGACTGTCCTTGAACTCACAGAAATTCACCTGCCTCTGCCTCCCAAGTGCTGGGCCTAAAGATCACTGCCACCATGCCTGGCCTTTTCCTATTTCTTTAAAATTAATGAAATCAATCAAGAGGATACTCATGAGTGCCATTTTCCTCTAGCTGGTAGATACTTGGGGTGGAAGGAGCACTCTCTTGCCAGTGGCAGAAGGTAGGCGTGTATAGGAGCATGCTCCATGCTGGGTACGTGGGCAGACAGCACCCAGTGTAGAGAGGAAAGAGGCACCAGAGACTAAGGCAGGTTTGGGGCAATGGCGTTCAGGGAGAATGACAGTGACTTCCTATACAAGGGACTATTGTCCTGCAGTGATGACGACAGCAGTGACCCTCCATCTGCTCTGTAATCTTGGGACCAGAGAGCTGAGAATCGCCGTGACAACCTTTACCCTGATATCTGGAAGCCATTTAGCCAGGCAGGTGAAGTGTGGGCCTTGTGGTGTCTGTGTACTTGAGTACCCTGATGCCACTTTCATCGTCAGAGCTTGGTACTAATATCTCCCCTCCGTCTCTGACTTCACAGATGCAGGAACTGGAGCAGAGGCTGCTGGAGGCTGAGCAGAGAGCTGAGGATGCAGAGACTCAGGTAACTGGGCATGGTGGGCGGTGGGAGAGCGCTAGGGACAATGGTCTTCCCACGGAGCTTTCTGTGCTAGTGAGGGATCTTTGGGTAGGCTTGGTGTCATGAGTGGGTGTACTAGTCCAAACTGGCCGTGCTGCAGGAACAAATTGAATCCGCAGTCTGTGTTTTATCGTGTTTAGTCCTCATACCTGGTACACTTCCATTAGGATTAACCACAGAGTCAGCTTCCACTGTGATTCGGGAATCCAGGCCCAAAGAGGTTCCACTGTCTGGCTGGTTACAGGCACACACAGCCTATAGGCTCCACATGCATCCCAGCACAACAGAGTTGTAGGTGACACTGTCATGCTACAACGTCAATGTTTGGACACTCCTGCCTGGAACACACAGCCTTGTTGATTTTTACTGGAGAGAATTTGCTGGTTACCCATGTACCAGATTTCACATACTTGAGACCAGTACAGCTAGTTCAAGTAATTCAGGGCTACATAGAAAAACCTTGTCTCAAAACAACAAAAGTGTAAACACTTTAGCCCAGAAATGATGTATTGTTTCTATTACAGCCCTTTGGTCAGATGAATGGCATGGTCCTATCTAACTCTAAGAGGGTTGGGAAACGTAGGGAAACACGTGAATGTCCTGGGAGTAGTATCTTTGCCTCTGTGGGGTGGGAGCAGATGTCCTCCCAAACCCAACTGCTCATCTTCTTCCTAACATCAACCTTCTCCCCTATCCCATAAAGACAAGGCCTAGGATGTAGCTGGTCTTCTCAGAGTAGTCAAAATGAATTTCTTTGTTGTCAATTCCTTCTTTTGCTCAGATAAAAGCATCAATGGTCTTTGATGTTTTGATTAAACATCATTGATTGGTCTAGATCACCCTGGGTAAGGACCTAAGAAGCATGTTCTGAAGCATCAAGGGGTTAGCCCATTCCATATTATATTGGCCATTGCACACACTACATGGTATCTGAGACCTTAGGAAGACTTGTCGATACTTTTCAGGTGAGCGTGATGGAAGAGAAGATCAAGCTGTCCAATCTGAAGAATGTGGACGCCTCGGGTAGCTTGCACCAAAAGTACCAAGAATTGCTGAAAGCCATGCAAAGCAAAGATGAGCTGATCAGTCAGCTGGAGGCACAGCTGGAGAAGCAGGTAGGAACTAACGTGCGGCAGAGCCTGTTTCCCCTCTCAGTGTCTGTATCAGTTGGCCTCAGTGTCTCCAACCCCTGTGCGTGAGCCCCAAGTGATAGGGAACTCACTTTATCATGAGACTGTTCTCTTACATGGTGATCATTAGTGTCTTCACATCCGTTCATTAGAAGCTCAGGGAAGGTGGAGGAAGCAGGCCCTGGAGGCAGGCAGATCTGGAGGAGAATGTCACCTCTGCTTGATACTCTCTGAGGAAATTGCCTGACTCACTGATCCTCATTTTACAGCTTCATACAATAGAGGTTATGAAACCTCCGAGGTTTGGAGTTAATTACCCCTAGGTATCCGTGTATAATATCAAACACGTGGTTGGGCCCGGTAAGGAGATCTTTTCCTTCTCTGTGGTGGCCTTGTGCCAGGCCAACGTGTGCTACTTGATACCTGGCTGTAGTGTGACTGGAATGGCATAGGATTGGATAGTCAGCCTTGGTCAGCTGGTTGGTCAAAGTTTCTCAATGAACCTGAGCAGGCAGAGACTAGATTGCCTCTGAAAATGGTGATTTCTCACAACTTCAAGGGAGCCTCACAGACCACTGCAGTATTCTTAGCATTCTTGCTTCTAGGGACCCCTCTGGCCATTCTGCTACTTCCTGTGCCCAGACTTCCTCCCCTTTATGGTGTGGGAGAATTGTCTGTATTCTGTCAATCATATTTTAATAAAATGCTGATTGACCAGGCAGGCAGTATAGGCAGGAAAGCCAGACAGGAAGTAGGGGTGGAGCAAAGAGACTGGGAGTATTCTGGAAGCAGAAGCTCCCTCTGCCACTCCTGCGCAGACCACCGAAGAGGCAGCATGTAAGCTGTCAGGCTGAAAAAGGTACCAAGCCATATGGCTAACGTAGATAAGGATAATGGGGTAATATGTGTCATAAGAACTGATAAGTAGCCTGACCTAATGGGCCAATCAGCTTTATAACTTATAGAGATCTCTGTGTGGTTGATTTTCTCTGGGACTTGCCGGCTGTGGGGTACCGGGCGGGAACAGATACCCCAACAAGCCGGCCCCTCATGTTACACCTTTATAGTCTTATTACAGCCATCATGCAACCTGGGCTGGCTTTGACCTCCTGTCTTCCTGCCTCTACTTTCCAAGTGCTGGGATTCTGGACACATGCCACCATGTCTTCCCCATCCTGGTTCCATCCTCGTCACTGGCTTCATCTGCCCAGCTTTCCTCTGGTGACTTCTCACCATCCATCTCCAGCCACAAGCCCTGGGCAGAGTCGGGAGACCGATATATCTACATGCGCATTCTCTGTAAAGGTCTCAGCTGACCCAAGCCCTTCCTTCCAGTCATTGTGGGTAATTGTCAGTATTCCCTGAACATCCCTTACTGGATGTGCCTTTTATGCAGTTGGAGGCCTTGTGTCAGAGAAGATAGAATTTTATCCACTGATTTTAGAGATTTTTTTTTCTTTGAGTAGATCAGAGTTGGAAGAAGTGGTTTGTGGGTCAGAATGACTTGATCCCAGGTTAGAAAAAACATTTGTTTACAATTAAAATCAATAGGTAAAGAGTAGATGAGGAAGAATGTTGTTCTCTGAGTCATGACTGCTTGCAGGTGAGCGGCTACATTTCATCCCTAGGTCTCAGTTTCCATGACTACCCTGAGAAGATGTCAGGTGTCTGCTGGCTTTTTGTACAGGGCCAACGAATTTAATTGGTTTTTGTTTTGCAGGCCATATAGTCCATGTCACAACTGCCCAGTTCTGCTGTCACAGGGTGAAATCAATATTGATCATCTGTAAATGAGTGGATATGGATGTGTTCTAATAAAGCTTTATTTATAAAAAAATATGTGGGAGACAAATGAGGGAAGACTGAGTTTGGCCTCAGGGCAATTGTTTACCAGCTTTGAACTAGGTGACCTTGAAGGTCTCTCAAGGTCTGAAATACTGACCTGAGGTTCCCACATTCCCAGGTCCTTTCCACAGACTTCTGCTTTGGAGTCTGTCTGTCATCTGAGAACTGTCAGGCAGTTTTTCCTAGAAGTATAACAGGAGTCATTTTTGCTCAGCTTTGAACCACTCAGGGGTCACCACTTGCTCTGTGCTTTTTAGGTACGGAAATAGTTCTCATCTAAGCTGGCTGACAACTGTGCAATAAGCACTGAACTCTGTACTCTTATTTCTCCCTCAGAATGGCCCAGCAAGAGGGGGATAGCTTATCTCTCCTTAGAGGTGCAGATTCGAGGCCAGAGAGACTAGGTTTAGTGCCTAATACTTTACAGCCAGAGAACTTCCTGTAGGATCGAAACTCACATTTCGTTTTATCCTAGAGTTCTTTTAAGCCTTCCCCCCAATACCGATGCTCAAACTTACACTCTTATGACTGTTCTACCACAGAGCTATATTCTCAGTTTTCACTACCTTTAGATGTAAATCTTTACTTCTTGAGACAGAAGTTTACAATATGGTGATGGCTGTTCTAGAACTAGACCAGGCTGGCCTCAGACTCAGAGATCCATCTGCCTCTGCCTCCTTAGTGCTGGAATTAAAGGCTAGATGGATACCTTTTCAAATATTGATTATTTTGAGAAATACTACTTCTGTGCTCATTTAGCTTTTTTTTTTTAAAATTGTTAGCATAGTGTATGCTCTAGTAGAGAAGAAACCATCCAGAAGGGTCTAGAATGGAAAGTAGCCCTTCCCGTTCTCCCCAGGGCTTCATTGCTGCCTCTCACTGATCCCCTGTGTGAAGCTCATGGACTCTCATTCTGTGGTTGTGCCGTGTTTGCTTAAGTCACTCCTGTTTGTGGGCACTCAGCCTGGTTCAAGTTTGGGGTTCCTATGTTGTGTTGCTTTCTCAGATAGCATTGCAAGGAGCGCTTCCTTTGCAGTGGCTCTGCTAGACCAAGGGTCTGTATGTTTGAAAGTTTGGTAGACATTGTCTAATTGTCTCCACAGAGGCCTTGTTCGTTAGTGTGAGAATTGCTCCCAGTATTCTTGACACTCGGGGGTCCTATCAAGCTAGCCCGATAGAGGGAAATGATGTCCTATATATCTGTATACTTGTGGTCGGGCTTCACAGCCTCTCGTGGGCTCTTTTTCTGTTGTCTTCCCTTTGGATCCTTTGCATGTTTTGCATGTTTACTGGATTGTTCGTGGCAACTATCCATCTGTATGTGTACACCTCCATGGCCAGCCCTCCACTGGTAGTTCAGTTGGTTTAGCCATTTTCTCTTGTCGCACAGTAATTTATAGAGATGGTATATGGATTTATTATTTGGTTTTTTTCCTCTGTGGGTTTTTAGCATTTGTATAATGTGTAGGAAAAAGCCCTTCCCACTTTAAGTTTTGTTTTAGCAAAATTTTGTTGTTTAGTCCATCTGATCTCGGGATCCACCTGCCTCAGCCCCCCAAGTGCTGAGATTGTTAAGTGTGCAGTATCATGCCCAAGAACATCTTAAAAGCCATAAAAAAGAGTTAATTTTCTCTGCTGCGTTGCCCCATCCAGTCACTGGGTTCCTTCTCTTGGCCCTCCTCCCTTTCTGACTGCTGTGATTAACCAAAGGCTTTCTCCTCGCAGAAGCAGACAAGAGCTGAAGAGGCCAAAATTGTTCAAGAGAAAGCTGCAAAGATCAAGGAATGGGTGACAGTAAAGTTAGCAGAGGTGAGTGGAGGTCAGCCTGAGGTCCCGCCCAGGGCCCTGCCTCGCGCGCCCTTCTCATCATCACTTCCTTTCCCTTGTCTTGGTCAGGTTTCCTGAAGCCTCCTCTCACCCAGTACTGGGTTTGTGGTTGGGAAGCTGGGATTAGTATCGGGAAGTTTCTGAGAATCCTCAGCTGCGTTTTAGTGAGCACATCACAATGTCAGTTATTCTTTTTCATCCTCTATTTAAAATATTGTAAGCCATGGGCTGAGAAATGGCTCCGTGGGTAACAGCATGTGTGCAGAGGGACTGAGTCGGGTCCCAAAACCTAAGTTGGGCAACTCACAGCTGCTCATACCTCCAGCTCTGGGGGCTCCACCTCCCTGGCCTCCGCAAGCACCCATAGGCACACACACACACACATGCACATGAGCAACAACTAAAAATAAGTTTTTTTAAAAGAATTGTGGGGCTGGAGAAATGGCTCAGTGGTTAAGAGCATTGCCTGTTCTTCCAAAGGTCCCGAGTTCAATTCCCAGCAACCACATGGTGGCTCACAACCATCTGTAATGAGGTCTGGTGCCCTCTTCTGGCCTGCAGGTATACACGCAGACAGAATATTGTATACATAATAAATACATAAATACTTAAAAAAAAAAAAGAATTGTGGTCAGGCTTGATGTGGTGGCAAACACCTTTAATCCGAGCATTTAAGAGGCAGAGCTCTGTGAGTTTGGGGCCAATCTGGGCTATGCAGTGAAACCCTGTCTCCTCACCCCAGATTGTGGTAAAGTATACATGAACATTGCCATTTTACCGTTTACAAAGTATCCAAGTGCTAGATACAAAGCACATAAAGTATAGCATAGAGTGTGTCCATCACCACCACCTAGTCCCAAAGCTGCCTCTCACCCCAGACAGAAACTTTGTTCACACCAAGCACCTCTGGTTCTCTCCTCCCTCAGCTCCTCTTCCTCTCTATCCGTGCATTTTGTAGTTCATCACTGGCTACAGCTGTGTTTAGGAAGCCGGTACTAGACACTGTAGCGTTACTAGCAAACAACTGGCTCTTTCTAAACAGACAGAGGGACCCACTGGACTGTGAGTTCTTGGGGACAGAACTCAGAATAAACTAGGCCCCCAACCCTTATCTGGCCCTTGCTTGAAAAGTGTTCAATAAAACTGTGTTAGACTTAATTAATTTTTAAAAAAGATTTACCTATTTATTATGTAAGTAGTGTTCGGTCTGTATGTACACCTAGATGCCAGAAGAGGGCACCAGATCTCACTACAGATGGTTGTGAGCCACCACGTGGTTGCTGTGAATTGAACTCAGGACCTCCAGAACAACCAGTGCTTTTAACCTCTGAGCCATCTCTCCAGCCCCAGGCTTATTTAATTTAATAGAAAATACAGCCACCCCAGGACAGAATTCACAGATAGCACAGCGAGAGGACTAAAGTGGATGTAGAGAAGTACACACCCGTGTAACAGCCACTCAGCTAGAGTGGGTGTGGGTCCCCCTAAACGGCTGTGCAGGAGTGCAGACTAAGGTGGTAAAATGCAGAAAGCAGAAGTTGGGTAAGCTAAGAAGAACTGTTGTCTTTTGTGGGGAGGGGGAACAGAGACTGAAGGGACAAATCAGGAAGTGTCAGGTGCCGACAGACTGCCGACTCGGCTTGCAAGGCCATCATATGAGTAGCAGCTTCAGAATCATTTTCTGTGTATGTGCTATACTTCACAATTAAAAAATAATAATAATTCCAGGACAGCATGGGCTACGTACTCAGACTCGCGCAAAAAAAAAAAAA